CTGCAAATTTCATTAAAATTTAATAAACTATCATCTTGTCTTTATTTTTAGTTAGCACATACCTTAAACACTTAAAGCTGTAAGCTAATGATAGTTATATAAGAGCAGATGCATGCTGGTGTTTTAAGCTGTACATTTTACGTCCAACGGATGCATGATCCGATTAGTCGACTAATCGCAAAAAAAATCGGTGACCAGTCGACTATCAAAATAATCGCTTGTGGCAGCCCTAGCACCAAATATTGTATTATTTTATTAACAGAGCTTAGAAGTCGAATATTAATTGTTTTTTTTACTGTTTGTTTTATTTTATTTGTATTTATGTTTTGTAATGATATGTGTGTATTTTGTGTGTGTGTGTAAAATGTTTATATTCCTATATATTATATTTATACACTGTATTCTGTATATCAAATAAATAAAACAGTAAAGCTGAGGACAAGATTAATTGTACTGTTCTACTGATATTCATGACATGACTTTTCTTTTTTATTCCTCCTGTATAACTCCTTTATATAAACACTATTTATATAGCGCCAAATCACAACAAAAGTCGCCTCAAGGCGCTTCATAGATACAGAAAAACCCAACAAACCCGAGAAACATTGGAGAAACTGGGTTGTTTTTTGCATGAGGGCTTCAGACAGGGACTCCAGTGTTGCTGAAGTTTCTTGAATCTGAGCATATGTTGTAGATCTGTAAACTTCGAGGCATTCGCAGCAGTTTCTGAGCTGTTAAATGAACTATTTTAAGCCAGGAAACATCTCGCAGAATACAGCAGATGATTTTTCCATCAAGTTTCTGAAATTCAGCGATGAGATGATGAGAAAGTGGTTAGACTATAGGCATATACACTCAGGCACTCAGATCCTCAAGATATGATGTTGGGTTAAGATCAGATTGATTAGTCTGTAATCTGAATACCAATCATTGCCAATGTGAAACGTGGATAATAAACTTGGAAACTAATTTGCTAGAGGATCTGAAGAGGTAATTTGTCTCAAGTCAAGTCCTCTACCATTAATTTGTCATTTTGAGTTTCAGTCAGTGAAACCATTGCTGTACCGTCAGACAAACTGTGCCCAGTGAATGGCTGCAGACATCTGAAAACGACCCAGAGCTGGTCAGCAGTAGCTGTGGTGTGTTAGGGCCCTGAGGACCACTTCATATTTCCTGCCTCTCAGTCAGTGTATTGTTCCTAATCGGAAGCTCCCAGTCCATAACTCTTAATGACATTTCCATGTTTACATGGACTTGTTTAGTCTAGTTTATCAACACAGTAGATCTAAACCAGGCCTGTATGAGAAAAGCTGCTTGGAAATTTCCCTTGGCAAAAATACCAATATCTTTCATGTCCTATGCCCCCATCTGCTTTCCTGTTGCCCATTAATTGGGAAGTCATACTGCTACTTGGATAAAAGCTAAAGATTTAATTTGTATTTATTTAAAGATCACTACAATTAACCTTATGCACTCATATAGTGCTTTTTAGCTCTAATAGAGCACTTTCTTTTTTACTGTAAGCAAAAGTGCACACTGCTCTCATTTCTGTAAAATCCACAGCCTGTGCGAAATAAGCTGCTACTGTTTCTGACATCTGCCAACCAAACTCGGGAATAAAAGTAATTGTGTGCATCAGAAGATAAGCGAGACAGACAATGAATATACAGTGTTTGAAATTTTTATATTAGAATTTGCATGTGGTTAAGATTAAATCTAGAGAAAGTGCTTGAATGTGTAGTTTCTAGAGCATGATGATATTGGGATTCAGAAACTAAAAGTATTTTATTAACCAAATTCTCTTTTCAGTTTTGCAACATTTATACTTCCTGCATTAGGAAGAAAAAATCTGCACAAGAAAACTGCACACTGCAAATGCACAGTAGACCTCTGCACCTGTAAACTACTCCTACAAGCCACAACACATACATAACTGTTCCTGTTATTACTGTTCATTATTACTGCAGGGTTGTACAACATAATCTATCAGTGTTTTCAGTGTTTCAGAATCATGTAACTCTCAGTAATCTGTATATTTTTTTCCGTTAAGTTTCATTTCGAGAAGGCATAGGTTCCATGTTCTTAACAGGGCAGGAGAGAGGTGAGGCTGTAAGTTATTATGGGTAACATATAGATGCAGGAAGTGGTTTGTTCTGTTATTTTTATCATTCATTTTAAAACAGAAATGTAGCAAACTTTTTTTTCCAAATCACAGAGTTTTTTCCCGCCTAATCGGGAATGATTGAAGTTGAAGAACGGGCGTTTTGGTTTAGCGCTGGGGAGCCTCTGAGTGCCTAATGATCATGTGATGCTGCTGTCCTAAAGGGGGGGCCGGGTTCGAGTTAGGGCAGACTACGGGCTTCACTCATGCTAAAATCCTCTTACTCGCCGTCACGCCATCCACGT